GCTAGGCCGAGTGGGAATGTGGGCCAGGGGGGTTGTTTGGGCTGAGGGTGTGGGAAGGCTTTCGGGACGGGAATTTTGGGCCGAATGAAATGGACGGGCTGTGTGGGGAGGTGAGAGGTGAGTATGGTGTGGGTTTTTGTCGTCCTCCGCGGAGTTGAGAAAAGCAAGATCAGTGGGTGAGACTGGATGAGAGTAGGGGTAGGATTGTTTATAAAAAATGACATGACGAGATATGATAATTTTGTGAGTGAGAAGATCGAGACACTGGTATCCCCGTTGGTTGGACGGGTAACTGAGGAAGACACATCGGGTAGAACGGGGGGCGAGTTTGTGGGGGACCGTAGCGGAGAGAGAGAAGATAGCCGTGAGAGAGAGAGACCGCCGGGGAAGAGACGGCGCTGCTCGAGGTCGCCGGCGACGCTGGGTGGTGTTCAGCCGAGAGAGGAAGAAGGGGTGGCGCTGCTAGGCTTGACAGCGGCGCTAGGTCGAACGAGGGAGAGAGAGGAGTGAAGGCTCTGATACCATGAAGAATAATTGCTTTCTATAAATAATTACGGAGGACTAAGCCTCGTATAAATAGTACAAAGGAATCCTAACTACGGAAGGAATCCTATACAAGGCAACTACCATATTAACAATGATTACCACATTAATATTAAATATATACATACTATATTTAACAAAACCTAAATACAAATGGCGGTGGAAGCTAACCTGAAGGAGACGGGTGATGAAGGCCATCGTCATCGACATCGCATCTGTTTAGATCTTCGATCTATAAATTGGAGATAAGAATGGGAGACATTGATATTAACTCTGAATAAAATATTTCATGGATCGTGTAAACCAAAAGCACCGAATTAGAGAGGAAAGCATTTACTTTGGAAGTCCAAATGCACCAGATAAACTATTTAAATTCGTTTAGTTTCTCACTTAGATTACGTGTAAGCCAACTGTGTAAAAATGATCCACATGTACATGTCAAATGTCAAGCTCTGGTGCATTGAGTCTCCTTTATTATAATAAAGGATTGTTCACCTCAATCTTCAAACAACAAGTCCTTAATTTTTCAAATATATGGATGTGTCTAGCTAAGGGCACTAGTAATGGGCATCACGCCCACCGGCGTGATCCCCGGTTTTAACGCCGGGGGCGTTAAACACCGCCCCCCATCGGTGTGATCCAGGCATCACACACACGGCGTCACTCGTTTAACGCAAGTCCCCCTCCCCCCTAACGGCTAATTTAGCCGTTGTAAACAAAAAAGAAAAATTAATTTAGACGGCGGATCACTCGTTTGACGCAAGTCCCCCTCCCCCCGAAGTGGCAACAACTCAACAATCCCGACGGCGGATCGTCAAAGAAAAGATTCTCCGTCGACGCCGAGGTTGAGGTCGGCGACACTATCGGTTCGTCCGAACAAATGCCTCCCTTCAACGTTCCGGATTCCGATGACGAGGACCCCATTCCACGGCCGATCGGAAGAAAGAAGGCAAAATCCATTGCCTCGACTTCGGGAGGGTCCGGCTCTGTTTCCGTTTCTTCTCGCAGCGAAATCGGTCGGGCAATGGTTGAACAACTTCGGGTGTTCAATCTTCGAGAAGAAGAGAGGATGAAGCTAAAGGAGAAGGAGATGGAGCTAAATCAGCAGGAGGACGAGATCAAAATCATGGAAACCAACCTTTCTACGTTATCGGGTTTCAAACGGATGATCTACGAGCAAAGACAAAGAGAGATCAAGGTGAAATATAATTTACCTTAGTTTTTTTATTAATGTATCTTTTTTATTATTGTCGTTTTTTTTGTTTAATGAATGTAATTTTTTAAATTTTAAATTATTGTCGTTTCAATTTCTTTAAATTTAATGAATGTATTTTTTTATTATTCGTGTTTCAATATAATTAAATAATAAATTAATTACATTTTATTAATTTAGTTTTAGAAGATGTATATTTAAAAATGTAAAAAATGAAGGTTTGAAGCCCCAAGGCTTCAAATCCATTTCCAGTGAATCTGTAAGGTAAGTTAAAGCTGACGTGACAGAGAGAAATTTTGAAGCCCGATGCTTCAAACTTATCTCCACTGCTCTGAAATCAGATGACTTCACCAGTTCACCCTAGTGCATCCGTTTCAGTATCGTCACTCATCCATATTTATTCCAATTTTTCCCATTTTTATGAATTTGAACGGGTCTAGAAATTGGCATCCCTGCTCTAGAGTCCCGACATTCTCCTCTCCTTCCGCCCCCGCATTTGGGCGTCTGGCACTGGCGTCTAGCCGGTCAATCTCCATCTTCGTCTTATTCGAGGTCAGTCTTCTCTTCCCATTTTCAATCGCCTCTCAGTCTTCGCTCTCCATTAGCAATCGTGAAATTCAGGTTTTGGCATGGGTCTGACATAGATTTTTTTGTCAATCTTGCAAGTCTGCTGATGGTGAATTGTGCATTTAGAAAACAGTGAAGCATCGAACAATTTCATTCCCCTGGTAGTTTTTTTTCTCTATTTTGATCATGCTAGTCCACATTTATCAAGCCTCGCAGTGTAAAAAATTCGGATTGGAACTTTTTTGAAAACCGAATTGGAATATTTGAGTATTAGCTAATATCTCCGAATAATAATTCGAACCAAACATGAATATTTTTTATGATTCGAATGATAATCAAGTTCGAATTCAAATATATCCACATTATCTTGAATTCGGTTAGAATATATCAGTATTCGTTTCCCGGTTTCGGTTTGTATGCATCCTTACTGGCAGATGGAGTTTTGGTTTGTATGCATCCCTATTGGCAGAGGGAAGGCAAAACATATGTGAGATAGATTGAAACATAATGTGAGACACATTATACAATCTGGAAAGCTAGAAATAGTATATCCTTCTTGTTAGCTATGTCTCACAGCAGCTTCATAGAGTTAGCTTTATGGACCATGCTACATTTACACCACAAATTGTACCCCATTTGTACACCACAATTGTACACAAACATTTTGATGGTATACACCAACATAAATGTTGGGGCATTAATGAAAATTTACACGGACACAAAGTGTTGGTGCGTTAACAAAAATTAGTTTTACACCAACACAAAATGTTGGTGCAAACTTGCGGGGTAAAAAGTGGATACAAAAGGTTGGGGTACAAGTAGCTTTATCTTTATTCCAACATACCAAGTTCTTCAATCCTAGCCCTCCTTTACTTTTAGGAAGGCAGACATCATCCCAGCAAATCAAGAGGCTTCTCAGGGCCGGCCCAATAGGGGGACAAACAATCCGTTCAGACCGGGCCATGAATTTAAGGAGCCCAATTTTTTAAATATTTTATATATGTATATAAGAAGCCCATAGCCCAATATGCCAAGGCCCGTCTCTTTTAGTCACCATCCTCTTACCCGTACACAAAGAAGAAAAAATAACGCAGGTAGGGAGGCCGACTGAACAAAATAGCCAAATCGGAAAACTGCCGGTAGAGAGACGCCGCCGCCGCCAGAGTCCAGACCCCGCCGGGAGCCGACCCTCCAGCCTCCAGGTATTCCGTATTCATAGCTTTCCAATTTTGTAATTTTTTTCTTTCATTTTTTCATTCTTAAGATTTAAAATCTAGGGTTAATTATTGAACTTTAATTAGAAATCTTTGCTAATTGCTATGAAGTAGGATGAATTAATGGTTCTATATGTTCTTTATTTGATTTGTTTGAATTGAATTCATGATATACTTATTATTTTATTTATAAAAAACTGAAAACTAAAAAAAAAATTAAAAACTGAAAAATTGATATGAATTTATGATATATAAAAAAATTAAAACTGAAAAACAAAAAATATAAAAATTGACGAATTGATATGAATTTATGATATATTAATTTACTTTTTTCTTCTAATAATATTGCATTAATTATTATTTAAATATAATTAGTTTACATATATTAATTTGTTAGACCATAAGGGATAAGACTTTTAAGGTCTTTTTTCTGTTTCGGCCCAGGCCCATGAATTCTCGGGACCGGCCATGGGGCTTCTTTTATAGGTTGCAGAAGCACTCCATAGAAAGTTCTTGCAAACATCTTGGATCGTTTTCATAACTTTGTTAGGGATAACAAAAAGTTTTGACCAGAAGAAAACAATTCCATAGAGAGTTGAGTTAATAAGCCTTGCCCTCCCTGCATAAAACAAGTGTTTTGTTGCCCAAGAAGTAATTCTTGTAGTGAGTTTCTCCACAAGCTTGTCACATTCTTTGTGGCTGATTCTCGCAGCTGAAATGGGGCCTCCAAGGTACCTAAATGGGAAATGTCCTTTAGGTATATGAGTATGCTTCATAATGTGATTCTCTTTCTCAGTGTTAACTCCTGCGATAATAAATTGAGACTTGAACAAAAAATTATTACTAGAATTACTGAAATTGATCTTATAATGTTTTTGATGTAGAATTTTTCAACTTTAAAAGTTTATATAGTAATTTTGAATGTTAGTTCAAATAGTAATTTTTTGTTTATTTTTTACAGAGTATGAATAATTATAAACTAAATCACAGCTGAAGAGTCGGGGCCCCATATTTCGAGATTTGGTCATTGCCGGATCAATTTTGAAGCACATTAGCAAAGCCGCTTCTCTTGTTGAGGAAGGATTTGTTTTCTTTTGCTTCCCCTGAATCATATTCCTTCTCATCGCCGGTGTAAAACAAACCGATAGATGTATTGACTCTGGCTCCCTTTAATTCTTCATTCAAACGGGAGACAAAGAAATGCTAGGGATTTCATATGGGGAGTTGTTTTTATTGCTCGGAGCTACTGCCGCTTTAATTGGTACTCTTCCTTCGTAAAAGACAGTTCACAGTGCATCTGTCTTTAGTTCACTTAATATTTCTACTAAGCTCTGATGTTTCTGTTTTCGATTCCAAAAACCTACCTCTTAGTATGATATTGTTAATTGAGTTGTTTGTATTGCCTCTGCTAGATATGCATTTGTTTCTCCTTCATGTGTTGAATTCTGTGGATTCTGAGCTAGGCTTTTAATAATTAATTTGTTAGGACCCAAGGACCTTCCTCTCATAGCAAGAACAGCTGGAAGGTTATCTGGTCGCGCTATTGGCTACGTTCAAATGGCTCGTGGTCAACTTGACAGTGTCATGCAGCAAACTCAAGCTCGTCAGGTTTATTTCTCTTTCTTTCGTTCTTTCCTTTGTTTAGTTGCTCTTCTATTAGCCTATATAATCGATCATCATTAGATATAGATGGATTACCCACACATGTTCTTCCCATTTCAAATTATTGTGTGTATGTTGATGATATTTTCTCTGAAGGTCCATAAAGAACTTCAAGATACAATTGCTCAATTAGAAGCCATACGACATGAAATCCGAACCATTTCTTTCATCAATCCTGGTCCATTAACTACAAGGCTAGTTGATAACATAAAAGACCACCAATCTGCTGCTGCTGCTGCTGGCACTGGTATCATGGAAACTGGACCTGCAAAATCTGACAGTGAGGGCACACCTGTGACTATTACTCCCAAGGTTTTTACTACCTCCCTTTCTTTGCATGGTTTACTGTTTTCATACTCATCTTTTCGCAGGGAATTATTTGTTTATTATTACTTGTAGGATTTTAATGCTAAGGCCTCAACCTCTTCTGAAATGCACAGCCAAGCAACTGCGTATGCAAAACTGGCTGAAATCACATCAGTGAACACCAAGTCTGAAAATAGTGAAGCTCTGGATGAGCTTACTGATGGATCTGGTAATCTTGTACTCCCAGTTTCTGCTAAAAGTGCAGGGCTGTTGCCTGATCATACAGGTAAACACCATCTATTGTTGTTTACTATGGTTTATATATATTTTATGGCCCAGGGGCTCTCTTTTCTCATTTTATCCATTTTTCAAAATATTTGAGACATTACTAATGTTCACCCCTTTTAAATTGCTTTCTTAAGCTGATGCAAAAGGATCTGACATTGTCTTAGAAGCTATTATAGAGGCAGATGTGGCACAAAACGCAAAGAAGTTTTTCTCACAACCCCAAGACCAAATGAATTGTGAATAGAGGTACATAAGTGTGTGTGTATGTGTGTATATTCATTGTAATACATAGTTGTCATGGCGCATGGTGACATTCATGGCGATGGGCCAATATCGCATGGCGATGGCGATGGCGCATATATGGCGTTGCCACAAGACACTAGCCACAGAATATTAATTTACTAATATTTGCACATGTATAAGGAATAAATTCTATAAAAAACAATAGATTACTTGATCTAAAAAGTGAAGTAGTAAAACACAAATGAGAAGTCACTCCAAATCCAAAACACTCTAAGGGTCCATGGTGCCAATAGTAAAACAACACAACTTAATCAAAACTTAAAAATAATTCAAAAATTAAAAGTGAAAAAAATATATTAATGTGAATCACCTTTGAAAATATTGGCAGTATAATCAACTATAATACACAGTACTTTGCATTACTTAAAATAGATAAAAGAAAAGCTTTCAAAAAAAAGAAAAAAAAAGAATACTGATGGGTTAAAAAAAAGAAAAAGGAAGTACTTGCCCGATATTTCCCCTGTCGCCGTCAATTGCTTTGGTTAGTCGCAAGAGGAGTCGCGACCAGAAGAAGAAGAAGACGAGACGAAGAAGAAGACGATTGGGAATGGAGGCTTGGCGGTTTTTGAGCGTCGATTGGGAAGATTAAGGGGCTGGAGACTACTAATTAAAAGTTTAATTTCTTAATTGGGCCTAATTTTTTGGGTTTGGGTCGGGTTAAATTAAAAAAATGGCGCAAGAATGGCGATGGCGTGGCGATGGCGCAGATTTGGCGCTGCCACGAGTCAATCGGCCGCCACGACCCAATTTGTGGCGTTTCCGCTGCAGATCGCCAAAGGCGCATCTATGGCGCGCGCCATTTGCGCCATTGATAACTATGTTGTAATAGTTGCTTTTTCTGATCAACTCTTTGTGTGACAGTTGTCATCTTCTTCGGTTTTGGAACATGTTTTCATTTGCAAGACTTGGACAACTTATTTTATTCTTGATAAAATCAGTCACATACCCGAAATTTCTCATATTTGTTCCAAAAAATAGACACTTAATAATTAACATTGATTCATGCATATAATTGTGCTTTTACAAATAACAACAAAACCCAGTATAATCCCAACATCATTGGGGACTCAAGTTGCACACAGCCTTACCCCCATAATAAAAACAAAAAGAGAATGTTTTCGTTAGGACCTTGATGCATTGCTGTGTCTACCTCCAAGAACTATACGTTGTCAATAGACACAACATATAGTTCTGCTTTTAAGAGGCAAATTCTGGGATTTCACATTTGACTAGAGTTTTCGCTCATCATCCTGATGCATTCATGCTTTAATGTTGTTATACGTCATTCTCCATTGCTTTGATAATTTGTTATTATTTTGTACTGGGTCCATTCCATAATGACTACTTAAATTGTTTTTGGTGCATTCTAGCTTAAGATAACATGTACAAACCTTAGCCGTAAGCTAACCAAGAGCCCATGTTTAGGACTTCCCTAATTTTGTCAAGGGATCACAGAGGATCTCTGTTAGCTTACGGATATGAGTATAATATGTTCATTTGTACGATCGTGTATAATATGGACCAAAGTTTTAAAATACGGCTAAGTATACGTTTCAAATGTTTGAAGTACATATACGGATACATTCGTGTTTTATACGTTTGCTTCTAAAAAATATGGCTTATAATGTGTACACATGTTTTCAAGAAGAATGAAAGTTTAAACTTTAAATTTTGAATTTAAAAAAAGTATTAGTCCAATAGCCACTAAACACAAATATAAAACAAAAACAGTTCCAAAGAAATAGATAGAGTTCATACTTAATAGTTCACGTGACACACCACCAACCACAGTAAGTAAAAAAAAGCTCAATCCTAACTCTCTAAGTATTATTCTGTAAACTCTTCGAAATTAGTTAATAAAGGAAAGCATCATCATCATCATCAACAACATAAGTCACATAATTGCACTTTGTGGCCTGCTGCAGAATTTAATGCAAAATTCATGGATTTCTAGCCTCTGCAAAATTAAAAGAAAAATTCAAATGAAATAACAGTTATTGTGATCAATCCCCTTCTTTGTATACACACACACATCTACAAACATATAACAGAAATGTAATTCATTTTGAATCTAACCATGTTTCCAATATTATGATTTTAAAAATGCAAAGATAGATCTAATCAATTAGACTAGCCATACAGCATAATCTGTGGATAACCAAGTTGATGTTCAAACATTGAAATACCCGAGGACTGTGAGAACTGAGAAGTGAGAACTGAGAACGACTACGCTGGACGGTCGGGCCTATTGTGTACTGAACGACCATGCTGCGATCTACAGGAGAAGAAGCTATCGGACAAAACATATGTGAAATTGGTAAGAAGATGGATAGATCAGATGGAGAAAAATGAAAAAAAAATGGGGTTAGGCAAAGCAAGTGTTTAAAAAGTAAAAGGTTAGTGGTTGAAATTTGATTAGAGGAATAGAAAGATTGTGGACCACATATTCATTACTTTATTAGTAAAGTAAGAAGGCGAGACAATTATATTGGGAGGGACTGAAAAGGAAAATGAGACGATTAATTCCGGATGCAGGGAGTATATGGGAGTATAATACACGCATTATACCTAGGGGTGTATTATACGTGTATTATACACAAATTTGCTTGTAGTGAGATAGCATGGCAATGCTTGAATATAGCCGACCCCTAGTGTTCACTCTGCCTGAGGAGATTCTGGCTCTCTGGTCAGAGGATGAAGGTCTGCACCTCCTCTCATCAAATCTTCTTTGATGCTTGTTGGATTCTTCACCTGATTTTTCTTACTTAGTCTTGTCTTTTTTTTCTTTTTCAGAGATGACTTCTAGGGAATAATGTTTTAGGAAAGACGAGGATGCCATTGCACTAGCGAAGCATAACTTTACCAAAAACAAAAGTCCAATCCAAGCAGAGGAAGGGATGTCGCAATTCCCCAAAGTTTCTGCGCTGGGAAGCAGCAGAAATAGAGACTTGGAATTGAAGTCTCTGTCTGGTCAAGAATTTATGATGCAGGAGAGCTTCATCTCATATAGGATCGACGAATACAAAATAATAGTTTATCTATGGTATCCTCCAGTCACCTGTTGACGCTGCCATCATCGGTCTACACGAACATTAGACTAAGGCCTTTGTTCGGCAAACAATAAAACCAGCCTTTACAATCTTTGTGTGGAGGACATTTTTATCTTTTGAGCCACTGAAAACCACCTTGAGCTTTGGGTTCGGCTAGCGTTTATTGGTGTTACCGAAGAAGAGAAATTTCCTTAGTTACTCTTTTTCTGATTAACCACCTAGTATTGGATATAGTAAATGCAGCAATGCATCATTGGTCTAATTTACAAGGGTAAGGATGCGTACATCTTTGTTCTTGACCTCCGGACTCCAACGGAGTTCAGATTATATTGGTTTTTCTTCTTCTTGTTGTTGAAGTGCTAAAAAAGTGAAGTTCTCACAGTACTTGGATCAGCTCAAACTGATCAGTTGAATTGATCTTATGAACTCTATTTTGATGCCAATTATTGTTCCAAATTTACTAGTATCATGAGAATTTAGGGCTAAGTTGCATGTCATCTCATTTTGTTGTGCTTATCATTTACTCCTTTTGTCACACAGAGAGTATACTTCAATGGGTCTACAACATTTTAAGTTATTTTTTCTAATTATAAATAACACAGAATACATAATGTCTCAAAATTGACATAATCCTTATCCCATTATAACTATTGAAAATTACTAAGGCTCTGTGTCGTACAAGAAATTCAAATTATGGAATAAGAATTGTAGACAACTATTCCAATTCTGTTATTTGGTAGTACAAAAATATGTGAATTTGGAATTGGTAGTATAAAAAATGAATTAGAATTTGCATTGTGTTCAAGGATATATGGTGATGGAAGAATTTTCGGCTTCTGCAATTTGAAGAAGCTGGGTTCGCTGATGCTGCTGCGCTAGAATGGGGAATTAGCTTGGCAAAAGAGTTTGTTGATTGAGTAGTAGGTATGCCTACTGCATTTTTTTTTGTTATTGATGAATAATTGTACACATTTTAGAAATTGACCTGCATTTAAAATGGAGAAGAAAATGGGTGATTATGTCTAACTTGTTAAAGAAAACACTCATTTGTCTCAATATAAAAGATGCAATTAGTAGTGGTAGGGTAAAGTTATATACTCCCTCACTCTCATAAAAAAAATTTCTTTATTTCCTATTTTTGGGTAGTGAATAGGTGGTTCAAAATGATTCTCTCTCATCTAAATAAATTTTAATCATATACTATTAGAAAATCGTTAGGAGGATGAAGGCTGTAAAGCAGCATTGACAAAAAGATTATACAAAGAAACAGATCCATTACATGATAGTTTAACGAATCGTGTAAATGCTTTCAAATCAAAGTTATTTCGGGGTATACAAAAAACTTTAATCGGATAAGACGTTAATCAAGAACTTGCACTAAGAATTCATTTTCTCAACCATATCAGCGAGACTCTTTTATAGAGTCGGAAAAATGGGAGACCAGGCATGAACATTCGCGTAAAGAGTTATCTGCGGTTTTAGAGTTGATTTTGACAATTTATCCAAACGTCTGAATCTTAAGGTTTTGGACTCCGTTCTCGAAATTTGAAAGACTTTCATAAAGCAATAATGTCTAAAATAAAAATTTTCCAATCTGTCCTGGTCGACCCCAGCTTGGGGCACTACCCCTTGGACCTCGCCAGGAGTTGCCACCCCTTGGTCCCTGCTACTGGGGGTTGCCGTCCCTAAACTTCCACTATGAATTTGTAGTATCGTTGAATGAGTGCGCACTCCGTACCTCCTTACTCATTAGACAATGTTTATTCAAATTCTTATCTGATCTAACTAAATTCAATCACACAGAAATAGCCGATTACACTAAAATCTCTAACATATACTCCCTCCGTCCCAGAGTATTTGTCCACTTTCATTTTTGCACACCATCCAATGCACTTCTTTAATCCATTTTATCTTGTAATTTGTATATTAAAAAATTATAGAAATTATATATTAATAATCTATATGTTAAGACAAATCAAACAAGATCACACAAGACTATATTTAGGCTTACACATTGAGAGAATTTGATGAGTCAAAGTGCTTAGATGAACAGTTCCAAAAGTCAAAAGTGGACAAAGAGAGTGGGACGGATGGAGTACTATGCATTTTTTTACTTTTCAACAGTTTTTTTTAAATTTCGTTATAAGTCAAATTGCAAGATGTTTTATGAGAGAAGGATTTCATTCATCTCACTTAGTTTTTGGCAAATGAAGGTTTTACGTTGCTTGAAGAGAAAAATAATGATTTATGATGTAAATAATCAAATAGAACGAAAGGTCACATTTACACATTACATCGTGCCAAATCCAAATCTTATTAAGACACATGTGTAGAAAATATTATTAGAACAGAACTTGAATGATTTGATTACACATAGATCCGCTATTTATAATAGCTACATGACTATGACCTAATTACGAGCCCAACAAGAATGAGCCCGTTAACAACAAACCCTAATGCATTCCCTAACACTCCCCCTCAAGTTGAGTATGAGGTTAACGAATGCACAATTTGGACAATTAAAACAAAACTAAGACTAAAAACAACTTGATAAACAACTTGAACTTGATCTGCTGTGACAACAACGAACGAAGGTGACCGGCCCTGCAAACGAACAATAAATTTTGATGACGAATGACTCCCACGCGGTGACACGGGGACGACTAACAAGCATCCCAAACTTGGAAGCCATGCTGCCGGACTGAGGCGCGACTATGTGACCAACCTCACAAACAAATATGTCGAACTGAGGCGCGACTATGCGACCAACCTCACAAACATGTCGAACATACAAATGGTTGCACTTGAACATACCAAATAACAACCAAAAACAAAGTCATCAAAACGTCGATCAAAAGGTGCATGAAATGCTGATCATGAAAACCTTCTTCCTAGAAGAATGCAAACCAAACCAATCCACTCATGCTAGCGAAACATACTGCTGAATGGAAGGGCACTTCTCAAACAAAAGAAACAATACCAACAAATGAGTTTGCTGCTTAAAAACAACAATTGATGAAATCATTAGTTGTTGCCGCCTCTTGGTGCATACGGAGTATTTGTAATAACCTTGACCACTTTTAACTCGGCGGCCAAAACTAGGACGTGAATGATATGGATAATAACCTTGGGCGTCGAAAATATGCAAAGAGTAGGGTAGCGGAGATCTGGACAATTACTCCTTGATCTCAACTACTCCGGACGAACAGATTGAAACCTATATCGTCAACAACAGAAGTACAATAATTGGTAATGGAAATCGATGGTGATGCCGCCGTCGCCGGAAAAAGCACGGCGACGGCGGGGAAGCGGAAGCTACAGACTAGAGCAAACTTAGGGTTTTGGTTTTCCCAAGATTTGGCTCTGATACCATGTAGAAAATATTATTAGAACAGAACTTGAATGATTTGATTACACATAGATCCGCTATTTATAATAGCTACATGACTATGACCTAATTACGAGCCCAACAAGAATGAGCCCGTTAACAACAAACCCTAATGCATTCCCTAACAACATGTAAATAGTGATTGTTATTTTTTTTGTTTGACGAATTGCTTTACTAGAGTGTAAAGAGTCATACGAACATCACATGTTTCAACCACATTTTAACGTGCTGATCACCTTTACGTTACAGATCTTTTTATTACATGCTCCAACTTGAATACGATCGGTTATTTTAAAGTTCCAAAAGAATGTAGTTTTTTATAAATAAAGTATACAGAGTATTTCATTTTTTCCAAAATTATCGTCTTAATTTGACTTTTGTGATCTCTTTGACCATAAATAAATGTAGTTCTAGACTTAACTATATATACATATGGAAAGATCTAAAACGTTTATTTTAATCCAATGCATATAAATGATGTATGATACTTGTGCAGTTGTGCTTACATTTAGAGTATTTGTTTATAATATATGAAAATTTGAATTTTATTCGAATGGAAAATCCGATTCAGATATGAGTTTGAATTTAATTTAGTCGAATATAAATAATTGTTTTTATTATTACAAACTACAATTCGGATCGAATATTTTGATTTGTATGCATCCTTATCCGCGACCTTCTTTTGTATTTTTTGAATGCTATTGAGTCTATTACAAAGTAGTATCTGTTCATACTATTCTCAAGTCTCAACCTAAAGACGCACAAAGAGTCAATGCTTCGCCTCCACTAGGGATCGAACTTGGGTGAACTTCCCTATGAATCCGGTGGAGTGGGCTTACTATTCTTTTGTATTTTTAACTATGAAGCCAATAAAAATAGTTTATGGTGTCTAGGATTCGACCGTGAGACAAGCGAACTACAAAAAAGCTAAATTTATCCAAGTTTGACATCAATAATTTGACATCAAGTCTTTCACAAACATGTATGAAGTCTTTTAGAATGGCAGATATATACGCTTTTAAAAAATGAGTGGGAAATATTAAGTTGTACTCCGAATTGTACACTAGCTAGACTCTATGCACCACATTTTTGGTGTGAATAAAAAGATTAATGTTGGGTGATGAGATGATTGATGTAGAAGCTTGTGTACAACTTGACAAGTAATTAATACATGTAAGTTCGTGGGGGGTGCAGCGGATAACAGCAAACACAAGCTATGCAAACAAAACAATCAACTATGTTGTAGAGAAGACGCTGCAGCACTGTCCAGTAACAGATGACGGACAGTGTGCTATTACACTTCTCTGTCACAAGCACACACAGAAGCAGATGATGCAGAGAGCGTTACAACGCCTACTGGGCAGAATGCTGTAACTGTAAAAAGCGTAAAAAAATGACACCAGAATTGTTTACGCAGTTCGGAGCAAATTCTCCTACGTCTGCAAGGCCCACGTCCGTGTAATAGCCCTTCCACTAAATCACCGTAAGAATTACACAATCAATCACAACAGAACCTTCTAATGTATTGATTTGTCTACTTACGAATGACTTGACGACAAACTCGGTTTGCGTCTATCTCCACGGCTAGTTACACCTTCTCAAAGATCTTCTTCAAGGACGTAGATTCCAATACACCTTCAAATAAAGNGACACCAGAATTGTTTACGCAGTTCGGAGCAAATTCTCCTACGTCTGCAAGGCCCACGTCCGTGTAATAGCCCTTCCACTAAATCACCGTAAGAATTACACAATCAATCACAACAGAACCTTCTAATGTATTGATTTGTCTACTTACGAATGACTTGACGACAAACTCGGTTTGCGTCTATCTCCACGGCTAGTTACACCTTCTCAAAGATCTTCTTCAAGGACGTAGATTCCAATACACCTTCAAATAAAGACTCTCCTTGATCTACAAAAATCTGCAGGCTATTCAGAAGCTCATAAATCAAGATTGAACCGTTGGAATTCGATCTCCACCGTTCAGATTGAAGATCCACGAGTCCTTAAACTCCTCCCAAAATTTCAGCACGATCGGACAAGATTTGATACTCCAACAGTCGAGAAAACCAGGGCAGTATTTTCTGCAAAAAGTCAGCAACAATGTGTATATTGTAACTTCGATAACAGAAAATCCACAACTCCGATTGACGTGAAATTGTAACACGTTGAAGCTCTATCTGTTGAGAACACCCTCTGAAAATTTCAGCAAAATCCAACGATCGGATCTCCGGCAATGATCAAATCTGTGCGGCTGTCCAAAAACTTTTCACTGTCTAACTTTGCACCTTGTTTTTTCTTTTGATCGAATTTGCTTCTGGTTTTCTGTAGTTTTTCACGCACACAACCCTAAGAGAGGGTGAAGATATTAATAAAATAGAATAGCCATGTTGGAGTGTGCTTAGGATTCTCAACCATGGTCTCTCCTTATGAATTGTAAACCAAGTAGGATTAGAATCCAAGTAGGACTAGAATTCTCTCTATAAGCTCTTTCCTCTTCTTCTTCCTTCACATGCTAGGACTCTAATTCTAAATAAAAAATCTAAAATAATTCTAAATAAATCTATTCGTTTGTCAAAAAATAATGCCAACACAATGTGGAACTAACAATCTCCCCCTTTGGCAATTTTTTGACAAAAATGAATCTTAGCTGTTTTGAACCTCTTCTCCCCCTTTTTTGCATAAAAAATGCCAAAGGTTTTATTAAGAATATTGGGGCAAACAGAGAAGAGTAACATTCAAGCGAGCTTGAGCATTACAATAATGAATATTAAAATAGGCCTAGACTTTGTCACATCAACCTGTGCCACACTTGAGCGACTCCCCCTCGGACGATGCATCTGAAAAAGTAACAATCTGCAAAAAATAAAGACATGTATGCAACCAGCAAAAACATCCATGCTCTAAGGTATTCCACGCTGGATATGAAACACCTCTTAGAGCATCCTCTAAATCAGGTAGAGATAGGTGTGCACAGACCCAAGCGGGATCTGAGTATTCCAAACTGATTCCCATCAAATGCTATTTTACACATGCCCAATACCCGTTTTTTCATAGTCATAAACTTCACACTCTCATGGCTAGGAGGTGTCACTTCATCACACTTATGAGATGATTCAGCACTCTTAACAGCACAACGATCTATTTTCTTTTCTTCTTGAAGCAAGCTTGCACTACCAACATGGCATTTATCAAAAGCAACATCCTTCACACAAGGATTATCACCTGTTTTGTACTGATTCTTAGGTACCCAAATCATCCTTGTTGTCACATTCTTTTTCCCGTATCTTTGCTCTTTAAAAATCTTGCATTTCCTCTGAATGTGTCCCCTTTTTCCACAACAAAAACAAACATAATTAGCATAGACATTAGTATAAGAATACCTTTCAGGTTTAGCATAATGATCCTTGTGTCTTCTCATACTAGATTGTGTCACAACTCTTTGCCTTGTTGCATAGGGTGCTGCATAAATTGTTCCAGCAGAAGCTTCATGAGATGCTTCAGCAGGTTTGGCAGAAGATGTTCCAGCAGATGCAGCAGCTTCTGTTTTCCTTCCTTGTGGGACTTTTTGAGCAATTTCCTTTCTTCGATCAACAAACAAATCAAGTGGGGTATTATTGTTTTCGGAACCTGAAAATCCGAGACCCGTCTTGTCTCCATAAAATTTTGAAACGTTCACTTGTTCCTCAATAGCTTTTGCTCCAGCACTTCTCATCCACTTTTGAAAGTTTTTGAGTTGATTTAATTCATACTTGAGATCTGATTGTTGCCCTTCTAAGTCTTCAATCTTCTTTTCCAGTTCTGAAATACTCTTTTTTAGTCTAATGCGCTCGGCAACAAGGTGATGGTTCTCCAAGACAGTTTTCTGGTTGGCTTGAACAAGTTCTACCCACTTCCTTTGGAGAATAGCTAGCTCTTCTGCTGTGTCAACCTCTGTGTCATCTTCTGTATCATCCTCTGTGTCATCCTCTGCTGTAACTTTACCTTTGTATCTCTGTAACTCTTTGATGAGTTGTTCCACATCGCGTTTTGATTCAGCAAGTTCACGTTTGAGGCTATCATTTTCCAAATATTTTTTCTTATTGACTCGTAGAGACTCTTGAAATTTTTCTTCAACAATTATAAGCATCTCCCTTAGATCTACGTCACTATCAGAGTCACCATCAACACTATGGAAAGTTGGAAAAGCACAGCATGTTCCAGCACTGTCTTTAACACACTGGTTCTCTTTTTCAACGAGGATGACATGCTTCTTTTTACGTCGGAGATCTTCATGCATCTCCAACTCAATGGCTTCTAAGTTCCCCATCAGCTCATCAAGAGACATAGTATTTAGAGATTATGTTTGTCTAATAGCTTTGACATCCATGGAGTACTTTTCTGGAAGAGAACGTAGAACTTTCAACACCAGCTTGTGTTCTGTAATTGGTTCACCAAGCCTTTCAGCCTCATTTGCCAACTCTCTAACTCGCCCATGAAAGTTTGTGATAGACTCAGTATCCTCCATCTTAAGATTTTCAATTTTAGACATTACGATCTGAAGTTTGGCTGTCTTGACTGTTGTAGTGCCTTCATGAGTAATAAGCAAAATGTCCCAAGCTCTCTTGGCCTCTGTGCAATCTGAGATAAGACGGAACTGATTTCTGTCAACCGCTCCGAAGATTGCATTCAAAGCTTGATCATTTGATTCTGCAGCATCCTTTTCTTTCTTGCTAAATCTTTCATAAGGCTTCTGAATTAGTTCTCCATCTGCATCAGTCATAGTAGGAGCTGACCATCCAACCTCTATGCTTCTCCAAACCTGTTCACCAAGAGACTTAAGAAAGGCTCTCATTCGACACTTCCAAAAAGCATAATCATGGCCGCATAATAGTGGAGGTCTAAAAACATTAGCACCTTCTGGAATATCTCCCATGGTGATTAATCAATCAAGCTAATAACTTAAGCTTGCCAAGCTCTGATACCAATTGTAAGTTCGTGGGGGGTGCAGCGGATAACAGCAAACACAAGCTATGCAAACAAAACAATCAACTATGTTGTAGAGAAGACGCTGCAGCACTGTCCAGTAACAGATGACGGACAGTGTGCTATTACACTTCTCTGTCACAAGCACACACAGAAGCAGATGATGCAGAGAGCGTTACAGCGCCTACTGGGCAGAATGCTGTAACTGTAAAAAGCGTAAAAAAATGACACCAGAATTGTTTACGCAGTTCGGAGCAAATTCTCCTACGTCTGCAAGGCCCACGTCCGTGTAATAGCCCTTCCACTAAATCACCGTAAGAATTACACAATCAATCACAACAGAACCTTCTAATGTATTGATTTGTCTACTTACGAATGACTTGACGACAAACTCGGTTTGCGTCTATCTCCACGGCTAGTTACACCTTCTCAAAGATCTTCTTCAAGGACGTAGATTCCAATNCGCCTACTGGGCAGAATGCTGTAACTGTAAAAAGCGTAAAAAAATGACACCAGAATTGTTTACGCAGTTCGGAGCAAATTCTCCTACGTCTGCAAGGCCCACGTCCGTGTAATAGCCCTTCCACTAAATCACCGTAAGAATTACACAATCAATCACAACAGAACCTTCTAATGTATTGATTTGTCTACTTACGAATGACTTGACGACAAACTCGGTTTGCGTCTATCTCCACGGCTAGTTACACCTTCTCAAAGATCTTCTTCAAGGACGTAGATTCCAATACACCTTCAAATAAAGGCTCTCCTTGATCTACAAAAATCTGCAGGCTATTCAGAAGCTCATAAATCAAGATTGAACCGTTGGAATTCGATCTCCACCGTTCAGATTGAAGATCCACGAGTCCTTAAACTCCTACCAAAATTTCAGCACGATCGGACAAGATTTGATACTCCAACAGTCGAGAAAACCAGGGCAATATTTTCTGCAAAAAGTCAGCAACAATGTGTATATTGTAACTTCGATAACAGAAAATCCACAACTCCGATTGACGTGAAATTTTAACACGTTGAAGCTCTATTTGTTGAGAACACCCTCTGAAAATTTCAGCAAAATCCAACGATCGGATCTCCGGAAATGATCAAATCTGTGCGGCTGTCCAAAAACTTTTCACTGTCTAACTTTGCACCTTGTTTTTTCTTTTGATCGAATTTGCTTCTGGTTTTCTGTAGTTTTTCACGCACACAACCCTAAGAGAGGGTGAAGATATTAATAAAATAGAATAGCCATGTTGGAGTGTGCTTAGGATTCTCAACCATGGTCTCTCCTTATGAATTGTAAACCAAGTAGGATTAGAATCCAAGTAGGACTAGAATTCTCTCTTTAAGTTCTTTCCTCTTCTTCTTCCTTCACATGCTAGGACTCTAATTCTAAATAAAACATCTAAAATAATTCTAAATAAATCTATTCGTTTGTCAAAAAATAATGCCAACACAATGTGGAACTAACAATACACGCCTCAAATACAATGAAAAACTACATGCAAATTAAAGAAAACACTAATAAACTTTCAAATACATTTTTATTCTAGCTAAAAAAGGGAAAGCAGTTTTAAAAAGCAAATTTGAAGCAACTATCTTTTTTTTAAATAAAAAGCAATGCTTTGAAAAAATGTAATTATTTGAACAAACAAGAAGGAAACGTTTTAAAAATGAAGCAATGATTTTTTGGTACACGAAGCAACGTTTTTTAAACTTATACGTACTACATAAAACTTAAAAAAAGTTTTTTAAAAAAATGAGGAAATAATAGGGAGAAATTTTAAATAAGTAATGAAAACGAACTAAAATTCTAGAGAATAATTGAGAGCGGCGAAGATATTTAACTCAAATGCAGTTTTTAATCTAGAACCCCAATTCAAAAGTAAAATGTGAAATTAGCTTTTACTCAATAAAAATAGGAGAACACCTAATATTTCTTGATTGAAAAAGGCGATGAATGAGAATGGGAGTATGGGAAATGAGAATGGTGTATGGGAAACTCAAATGATGTCATTTAAACAAACACAATTGTTATTAATAACAAACACACTTCAATCTTTCAAAAAATATAGTTGCTACTTATATTATGTTGCATAAATTTTAAATATAACCTAAATGTGACAACGTGAGTATAATATATATAAAAGGAATATTATAAGAGTAGAATAATACATCTTCTATCTTAAATTAAGTTGTATGTTTATTATTCACATCGTCAAATTTCATTCACTTTTTTTTCTTATTTTCGTTACTCATTTGATAAAATATTATAATCATGTCGCTTCTTGTTTTCTAGAGCTTTTAGTTTATTTTTAAATATGTAAATTTTATTTGTTAAATTCGGCTCTAATTTTTAACTATAATCAGAGATTCGTTTCAAATGAGTTGTTCGTTGAACATAGTTCAACTCATTCGAAGAGGTACGAAGTGACTCGACCAACGGGTTTCGGTGAAATTGCGTAGATCGGAAAGCGCCTTCTAAACCAAGGGAAGGGGCCTATGTATTTGCATGACCACCCGGAGCCACTCCCCTAGCGGTCCTGCCACCACGCCGCAGAACGGGAGCTCGTGTGGAACCTTTTCTTCTGGCGTAACAGCGGTAGAACGTAACAAAATATGACACCCGAAGCACAATCCTATTCGGTCCATCATCGTAATAAACTGAAACAGTTAATTTGAATTGGGACAGATGAAGTAATACACAGAGATAAATAAGTATAACTCACATAATTTGGTTGAAGAAATTATTGAAAAATAAGCGAGTAAAACACTATTTGTTTGCTAAAATAGCAATTTCCAACCTATTTTTTTAGAAAACTCTTTGGAAATGCTCTAAAAAAAATCCTCCTAATAAATTACTGGCTAAACTCCACCATTGGTCCTTCAACTTTATCAATTGTGCACGATTGGTCCTTCAAATTTTAAAACTCCGTAAATAGTCCTTCAACTTTATGAGTTATGCACGATTGGTCCTTCAAGTTTTAAAAGTGCATAAATAGTCCTTCAAGTACACGTCAGCCCGTTCTTTTCATAGTAAATGTTAAAAGCTAAATGAAATACTAGCTCCATATAATACGGAGTAGTCGCACCTAGTGGAATTTACTCGTATTATATGAAACTAGTATTTCGTTTAACTTTTAATATTTACTGTCAAAAGGACTTCATATGGAGGGCTGATGTGTACTTGAAGGACCACTTATGCACTTTTGAAACTTGAAGGACCAATGGTGCAGAACTCATAAAGTTGAAGGACTATTTATGGACTTTTGAAACTTGAAGGACCAATCGTGGATAAATTTGAAAGACCAATGGGAAATCTGATCTTCCGAGTCTAATTGAATTGGGAGTTACCCTTTCTGCACCCGCTTTGGCAACGGGGCTACTCTCCTTTAAGAACACTTTTCCCTAAAACAGCAAAAAGAAAACCAATCGCAAGCCATTTCAACTGCGGTGTAAACCAGATAAAGAAGTACCACTGTACTACGCGAACCCCTTTTATTTATTTTTACTGATCTCCAATTAATTTTGAAGATTACAAAAGTTCCAGCATCGACCATGTAACTAAAGACTAAAGTCAAAAGGAAAGAAAACACAGAACTTAACAGATGGCAATCTTGGTGTTGTAGATAATGGGTTCTTTAGTGAGAGAATCTGAAGAATTCCCAAACGGGCAACTAGTTTGTTGCGTAAATATAAGTGTTCTTTATTTTCTTTAGAGAGAGAAATGGACAAGGGAAGTGGGTATGGGGGACATTAGCGTATCTGCAAAAATCCTTAAAATTCGATTCAATCACTTGGGAAAGTAGAGATAGAAATGAAAAGAAGATACAACTCTCCACTTTACAATATTTTATTCCCAAGAGTATATATTATATCACAAATTGATGAAAGGAACTAAGGAATAGTAAGAGAGGGAAGGCTTATTGATTCTCATTCTCAAGATTTGGAGTTTTGGGGAAATCAGAGAAGGCAAAATACACATCTTCAAGAACACCCACCCCAATAGTGTGTTGTGGGTTTGTGCTTCGCTGGTCAAATCCACTGTTCTATGGTCCATTAAACAGCGAAGCTGTTCTTCTTCTTTGTCTCCACTCTTTCGTCTTTGCACACAGGGGGAGAAAGTGGTGAAGGTTTTGTGGAGGTAGAAAGTGTAGGAGTTACTTCCCTTTTTCTAGTTCTTAGCTCTAAATTGCTTTTTCCTTTGGAAATTGGCCTGTTTTTGCTGCTTTTGAGGGACCTTCTGGCATGCAATCAAGCCATGTTTGCTCCATCCCTGCAATAAGGTATGCGAACTTCCATCTTTCTTGAATTTCCCTTTTTTTTCTCTCAAAAGAATTGCAAATTTAGCTGACCAAACCCTGGGTTTTCTTTGATTTCTAAAAAAAAATCTGGGTATTCTTTGATTTCTTAAAAAAAAAAACTTGGGTTTTCACAGAAAAAAAAGAAAGAAAAAGAGAAAGTGTTGTCATGATTGTAAGTGGTGACATGTTTTTAGGTGAGTGAGGAAGAAAAAGGTGTATGAGAGAGGAAGAGAAGAGATGGGTGTAGTTGAGATGGGTCAAAAGGCAAACAGTAGCCAAAGCAGACACCACATGGTGACCATGATGCTGAATGAGCAATTGAACAGAAAGAAGAGTTACCCATGGATTCACAGGTATTGGCTTCCAAAGCTGTTGACTCTATGGATTCTAGCAGCTTCCGTGGTGAGCTGGGCCATATTCACCTACCTCGATAATGGGAACAAGGCGAAGAGGGTTGAAGGTTTGGTCACCATGTGTGATCAGAGGGCTAGAATGTTACAAGACCAATTTAGTGTCAGTGTTAATCACGTCCACGCCCTCGCCATCCTCGTCTCCACTTTCTATTACAACAAGATCCCCCCAGCAATTGATCAGGTTGGTTGAGTGACTCCAAGTCATCACATACTTTGTTCTTGGGTTTTTCTTTTTTTGATACATTAGCCAGACTAATGATCTTAAGCCTTTGTTCTTCAACTTTGAATACTATTTTACGAAATGTGTGGTGGGTTATGCAGGAAACCTTTGCGGAGTATACGGCCAGAACAGCTTTTGAGAGGCCATTGTTGAGTGGGGTGGCATATGCAGAGAGAGTTATGCATTCCCAAAGGCAGATCTTTGAGAAGCAGCATGGATGGACTATTAGGAAAATGGACAAAGAGCCTTCTCCCATTAGAGATGAATATGCACCTGTCATCCTCACACAAGAAACTGTTTCTTACCTCAAATCGCTTGACATGATGTCGGGAGAGGTATATAAATAACCAAGAGTTAAACTTCAATCTAATTAATTATTTGTAAACATATGGAAATTCCCACTCAGTTTCATCATCATCATCATCTGATTCTATGGTAGTGTCTTGTCTTGATTAAAATAGGAGGACCGGGAAAATATCATGAGAGCTAGAGGCACCGGGAAGGCCGTTCTTACAAGTCCCTTCAGGCTTCTTGCTTCTAACCACCTTGGTGTTGTGTTGACATTCCCTGTGTACAAATACGTTCTGGGTGATCACCCTTCCCAACAGGAAAGGATTCAAGCAACTGCAGGGTAAATATATAGTATCTATTTCTCTCTATTTAAATTTCCAGCTTATTCTACTTTGTGAGATGCACTTCTCCGTGGTCAACTTTATAAGTGAGTCTTAAAGCTCAGAAATCTCGGACAAACAGATACCTTGGTGGAGCCTTTGATGTCGAGTCACTTGTTGAGAACCTTCTGGGCCAACTTGCTGGAAACCAAGAGATTGTAGTTAATGTTTATGATATTACAAATGTGTCCGATCCTCTTGTCATGTACGGGTCGCAGAACAAAGTGGGCGACCTGTCCCTAGAGCATGTGAGCAAACTTGATTTTGGAGACCCGTTTCGTAAGCATGAGATGATATGCAGGTGAGTGAGTGTCCTAAGCTAAGCTGATTTCTTCATTCCTCTCAGCTCTCAACTGCCTTGTTTTGATTTTTAATTTGAATGGTTACCCGTGTAGGTATCTTATGAGGGCTGCCACATCCTGGCTTGCATTGATCATTGCATTGTTTTCCTTTGTAATTGCTGCTTTGGTTGGTTACATTTACTATGGTGCTGCTTTTCACATCATTAAAGTTAGAGACGATTTCCACAAAATGCAGAAATTGAAGGTTAAAGCTGAGGCTGCTGATGTTGCCAAATCCCAGGTTGTCCAAACGTGCCTTTCCCTAATTTTTTTTCGACCTTTTTTTTAGGTTACCATTCATTAACGAAAATCTGTTGCCATTTGTGCTGACCTTTTTGTTTTCTTTGTTTTTTTGACGACGACAGTTTTTAGCTACTGTTTCGCATGAAATTAGAACTCCCATGAATGGAATCTTAGGTAGGACAAGACTTGGCATTTAGAAGTTATTATAGTCAACTTGAGTGTATGTGTTACATAAGTAAATGCCTCTTTAACTGTCATTGCAGGAATGCTTGCTTTGCTTTTAGATACAGACTTGAGCTCTACTCAATTAGATTATGCTCAAACAGCACAAGCTTGTGGAAAGGCACTGATAACATTGATAAATGAAGTGCTCGATCGCGCTAAAATTGAAGCAGGAAAATTAGAACTTGAGACCGTCCCATTCGGTCTTCGCTCCATTCTTGATGATGTCCTCCCTCTATTCTCTGAGAAGTCCAGGAAGAAGGGCATTGAGGTAATTTATTCAATGCTACAGAGTCATATTGTACACAGATATGACAATAATGTGTCATTGATGGGCTTCCTGTTCTGTAAGTGAAGTTGGCAGTGTTCGTTTCGGATAAGGTTCCAGAAATTGTAATGGGCGATCCGGGAAGGTTCAGGCAGGTGATAACAAATCTGGTCGGCAACTCTATCAAAGTAAGTGGTGTGTGATCATAAAAAAACACACTCTTCAATCTTTTGGTAACATTTCTTATGTTTTCAGTTCTGAAACCCTCCTCTGTTCGGATATATCATCATATACTGATAGAATTTAGGATGGGGCATGAGCAACTGGATTGGGCAATAAGACATTTGGGTTGAACCACATTAAAAGATTGAATCCAATCGATTAGTTAGTTCAACTCAAAAGCTTATATACGGATTATTTTACTCTTGGACTTTCGATGTGGGATGCACTCCAACACTCCCCCTCAAGTGGACAACTGGGCCATTTTGAATCTAACCGGTTGACCACTTGCAAATGGACCCCCATTCCCTTGACTTTTTCTCTTCTTTTTTTTTGAATCTAACCGGCTGTCACTCTATTGTACCCAGTTCACTGAACGTGGACACGTGTTCATTCAAGTGAGTCTCGCCGAAGAGGCAAAAGCAACAAGTGAGAATGGAGGAGGAGGAGGAGGATCAGAAACCCTTAGTGGTCTTGAAGCTGCAGATAACCGGAACAGTTGGGAAAATCTGAAGCACTTGGTTGAACCAGACTGCAAAAATGGAGAAAATGGGCACAACTCTCTGAGCAATATAATCACGCTGATGGTGTCTGTCGAAGACACTGGAATTGGGATCCCTCTTCATGCACAGGAGAGAGTGTTCACTCCATTCATGCAGGCAGACAGCTCCACTTCAAGAAACTACGGAGGGACTGGAATCGGGCTAAGCATAAGCAAGTGTCTGGTGGAGCTGATGGGGGGCCACATCGGTTTCATCAGCCGGCCGGATGTAGGAAGCACCTTCTCTTTCTCTGTTAAATTCGAAACGTATGACCCCTCAAACGGAACCGTTGACTTGAAAAAGGGTCTTCGAGACGATTTGCCTTTGTCTTTTAAAGGACTAAGAGCTATTGTAGTTGATCCGAAACCCGTTAGAGCTTCTGTCACAAGGTATCATCTCAAGAGACTTGGTGTCCTTGTTGAGGTGGTTGATACCATTAACAAAGCAGCAGCAGCAGCAGCTTTACTCTTTGGCAAAAATGGTTCCCTGATTTCTAGGTACGTTTTTCCTGAAAACAGAAGAAGACTATGAGTAAAACAAATATGGCATAAATCTACACCTACCAATACCATAACTCTAGTTGCTACCAAAAACATAAAGTTCAAGAGATCAAGTCAGAATCTCACTAAATTTGGCTATAATATAGTGAAATTTGCATTAAATAGAATTAAAACATAAGTTATTTCCCAATGTAGGATTTAAACTTTTTAATTCCCTAAATGTGACTTATTAATGTCTAGTGGGAGGAATAATGTCAAGTAATGATGGACATTTACTTGAATAATGACTAATTGATAATGACCAAAGATCCTACACTGGAAAATAAAAACATATGGTCCTATATTGGGAAAGTCATTATGTTTTAGTCCTATTTAGGTAAATTTCTCTATAATATATACTTCCTCCCTCCCTCTCTTTGTCCACTTAGCTTTTGGCACAAATACCAAGGCTTGTGATAAAGTAGGTCTAAATATCCATTATGGGTGGTAGATAGTGGGTTGGGTACATTTAAGAAGGGAGGGGCAAAATAGAAAATATGAAGGTATTACATTTGCCAAAAATAGTGGGACGGCCCGAAATGGAAAAGTGGACAAAGAGAGTGGGAACGAGGGAGTACATATTTACATGATCACATCCTCTCATTGCTTGTTTGAGCAACTTTTTTTTGTTTTGTTTTGTTTTGTTTATTGCAGAAGTCAGACTGAGGCAGCTGCTGACATGATTCTTGTAGAGAAAGATGTATGGGTATCGGAGGAAGCAGAGATAAACACACTTGTATCAAACAAGAAGATGCGACCCACGAAAATGATTCTTCTAGCGGTGGATATTTCGGGGCATGAGTTGGAGAGAGTGAAAGCGGCGGGGTTTGCAGACACCATAATCATGAAGCCTTTGAGAGCGAGCATGGTGGGGGCGTGCCTTCACCAGGTGTTGGGAATGGGAAAGAAGACAAAACAAGGGAAAGACAACAAGTGCAACGGGTCGTCCCTTAGAGGGCTACTTGGGGGAAAAAGAATATTGGTGGTTGATGATAATATGGTGAACAGGAGAGTAGCCGCCGGCGCACTCAAGAAGTTTGGTGCTGACGTGGAGTGCGCCGACAGCGGCGTAGCTGCCCTTGCTTTGCTTCAGATACCCCACAATTTTGATGCCTGCTTCATGGACATTCAAATGCCGGAAATGGATGGGTAAGTGTTATAAAATATAAACACAAACTTGAGTCTTTGGTTGAGTTAGTTTTTGCCTTCTTGACTAAGAGGTGACGAGTTTGAGCCTCACTGCCACTTAAAAAAAATTTGGGTTTCACATGCAAGACGTGTTAGAATATAAAAACTCTTGTTGAAAGACAACCATGCAGAGCATGGAGTCTTTGCACGTACTAGGGACAAATCTCAATTCCTATTTTGAAAAATAAAAAACACTAACCCGAGCGCCTTTGGTTTGTGATTCCAGATTTGAAGCGACCCGTAGAATCCGAAACATGGAAAAAGAAGCAAATGAGCGAATGGGAGATGGAGGAGGAAGGAGGGAGTGGCATGTGCCGATACTGGCCATGACTGCTGATGTCATCCACGCCACGTCAGACAAATGCATCAGCTGCGGGATGGATGGATACGTGTCGAAGCCCTTCGAGGAAGAGAATCTCTATAAGGCAGTTGCCAAGTTCTTCGAATCGAGTCCGGGCCCCGCCTGCTGATAACTAGTAAGCTAGCATCCTATATATATATATATATATATATATATATATATATATATATATTTCTTTCCTGTAGAGAGAGAGAGAGAGTTTTCCACATTCTGCAAATTGTGTGTTAGTAGTGTGATCATATATGTATGTATACTGCTCCCTCCCAAGATCAAACTGTTCCTTCTCCCAGCTGAAGTTACATTTGAAGAAGGAGAAGCTTAGAGAGATTATTACTATATATACAATCTGACAATGGAACCTCAACATTGTATTTGTATTTATTAATATGTTGATCGATATAAGATGATATTCTTCTTGCATGAAGGTGGAAAGCCCACCCTGACCTGACAGGATTTTGAGCGGTAAATCATTGTATAATCTCAATCTGGTCTTCAGAGCCACTCGACAAAAATAAATAATATCGCCACACGACCATGTGGTTAAAAGCCACGCGCTCTACCAACTGAGCTAGAGCGGCAATATGTATTTTTTCTTGTACGAAGTTTGTATGAAGGGTTTTCATTTCTTTGGTATGTACTCTATGGTATGAGTAACCTAAACAGGAAAAGGCCAAAATATTTGTCAACAAATCTCTTATAGCCAACTTAACCCACACAACAAATGAGTAGCTCATATCGCTAAGCCACGTCTAAACAACTAGGATGTATCAAACCCAGACCGGATAGGTTTCAATATCATGGTAGAATTTAGGATGGATATGGATCACTAGACTAGGACATAAGATATTCGGGTTGAACTGCATTAAAAGATTGAAAGATTAGATTCAATTGATTAACTAGTTCAACTGAAAAACTTATAAACATGTTATATTTTTTCAATTTTTGATGTGGGATATATTCTAATACAGATCTCTATTTTTATTAACTACTACTCCCTATTAATAGAATTGAAATATCTTTAAAAGAATCCAACTTGGTCAAACTTAAGCCTTATTAATGTGCTAATGAAAAGAATTAGACTTAGTCAAGCTTAAGCCCTCTTTTTGTATGCCTCTCATAAGTCTTGATTGGTTTGAGATGGTAAATTTTATGGTCGACCTAAGATCCATTATGAACTTACAGATGAGCAAAATAATCATTTTTTACTATTTAAATAAATTCTTATTTTTTAATAAAAAATAAAAAAAGATTTTTTATATGAGAAGATCTACAAAAATGGTATGCACTAAAGAAGCACTCGTTTGAGATTTGTATCAGCCCCTACTACTTTTTACAATTTAATTTAAATTATTTTTAACACTTGTATATTACTCCCTTCGTCCCAATTTAAGGTGTTTGTTTACAATTCAAGATCAAAGTTTATTTACTTTCTTTAGTCACTTTCGTTACTCAAATGATAAAATAATATAATCATGTTACCTCTTGTTCTGTAGATCTTTGGATATACGAGTATGTTGTAATGCCTTGAATCTGACCCGTTACAGCAGGGAGTACCTCTCGCTACAGTGAGTCGGGGGGTCCAGGCGTGTTGATGTATTGGACCATTAATTATCTGTTAATTCTGTATGTTGGGCCCAAGTCTGTTCGGGTGTAGCCTAGTACTATATATATAGGTGCTATCACAAACTCTAAGCTGTATACCGTTCTTGTCTCTTCGTAATAAAATTGCTCCCCCTCTTCCTGTGGATGTAGCCAACACAACGTTGGTGAACCACGTTAAATTTGTTGTCGTATTTTTCGTGTTCATATTATTATTCTCGAAATCCGTATAATAGAGTAGTTTTTAAAACTTTATATTTTATTTTTTAATTCTACCTCATTGTTCATTTAGATTCATTTAAAAGTAATTCCATTCAAACATCATACACAATAACATGTACAAATTAAAGGAGTAACAATTTTATAACGCCAATTAAAATATTAGGAACCCTACCAAACCCTTTATTTCCTAACACATCTAGTGATTCATTGGAGGGCAAATTCTTCTGTGGATCTAAAATTCATGTTTATTTTATGGACCTTAATGTATTTGGAGGATTAAAAAAGTGGGCCTATTGCAAAAAAAATATCTACATGAAAAACCATAAAAAATGAGAGAATATTACATTTTAAATAAAGAAAACTTCCTAAATAAGAATAAAACATATGTGATTCTCAAAATAGAAGTTCAAACTTAACTTATTCTAAATAAGAGTAATTAATTAAATTTTGTTTTCATTTACTCTTCCACACAAACAACACCACATCCCAACCCTGTGTGATCGAAAATGTCACCAAGTCCCTTCCCAATCTCATCCTTCTCTAGTTTCCTTCGTTCTAATCTCTGTTACGTTGCTGACGCTGTCAACCCAATCTCAAGCTCCTTTCTGCCGTTACCATCTCCTCACTCTCCATCATCTCCCTTTCTCTCATACACACAATCTCCTTCCACCTCTCTCTACTATTTCCATTTCCCATCGCTCGAATGCCTCCGTCCCCTTGGATAAGTTTGAATTCAATTTGATATTTAATTTGACGTAAGTAGTTAAATTCAATTTTAAATCTAAAAATTTACTTCTTAGGGATTTATTTTGTAAAATTGGTACTAGCTAATTCTTTTAGCCTTGCCTGAGTTTGAAACTTTGGATTCAATTTTATATTCAATCTCACATCAGTTGTGATATTTGATTTTAAATTTGAATTTACTTCTTAGAAATGTTTTTTGTAAAACATATATTGAAACTAAATGATTATTGTGTTGGCATATAGAGTTTCTTGATGCGTTTAACATATGTGTGATATGTAACATTATAAATTGACATATCGGTCATTATACATTGTCACATTTGACATTATCACTTTGTTCAACATTATGCATTTGCATATATGACTTTATACAATGGCATGATTGTCAGTATGCGGTCACATGTGACGTTAAATGTGGTCTTGTTTGACAATGTATGGACATTTTACTGTAGCAATTTACTGAGTTTCTATTTATTGCTTAAGAATTTTGAGGAGTTAGCTCCATATTTTAAAAATAAAATGAAATTGTGGAGTTAGAGATATACTCCATGTTAAAATGCCTTGAATCTGACTCATCACAGCTCCGAATCCGGAGAAGTCCGTTTTCTGAGAAGTCCGTTTTCGGAGAAGTCAGAGTTCGGAGAAGTCAGAGTTCGGAGAAGTCAGAATCCGGAGAAGTCAGAATCCGGAGAAGTCAGTTGGGCTTCTAATTATCTGTTAACTCTGTAGTTTTGGGCCTAAGTATGTTAGGGTTTTGTCAAGCACTATTTATATGGGTGCTACCACAAACCCTACGTGATGTACTCTGTTTTGCCTCTCCTTCAGAAATAAAACTGCTCCCCCTCTTCCCCCGTGGACTAGCCAACACAACGTTGGTGAACCACGTTAAAATCTGTTGTCGCTTTTCTGTTTGTTCTTTGATTACTCAATACCCTATTCCGTAATAACAAACTGGTATCAGAGCCATTTAGTTCTTCCGATTAGGGATTCTTCTGAATTCCGCTCTGTTAGGGTTTCTTGAGTCGATCGAAGATGTAATCTGCTCTGAACGTGAAGATTGATAAATTCAACGGGAGAAATAGCTTTGGCTTATGGCAGATCAAGATGCGATCGTTGCTGAAGCAGCAGGGATTGTGGGCGCCGCTAACTGAAAAGGTGAATAAGGCAAACGATGATGAAGAGTGGAAAACCCTAGAAGAAAAGGCCCACTCGAAAATCATGTTGTGCCTATCGGACGATGTTATCATCGAAGTCGCTGATCAGGAGACCGCTGCTGCCCTCTGGATGAAGTTGGAGAGCTTGTACTTGACGAAGTCTCTAACCAATAAGTTGCTATTGAAGCAACGTCTGTTTCGACTACGCATGCAGGAAGGTACACCCCTTCGGGACCATCTCGAAAAGTTAAGTAAAATTTTGCTTGATCTTCGAAACCTTGATGTTAAAGTAGATGATGAGGATGCTGCTTTAATTCCGCTAGTTTCTTTGCCTGAATCGTATGAGAATTTTGTTGATTCGCTTCTTGCTGGTAAAGAAACTCTGTCTCTGGAAGATGTTCGATCTGCTCTCCACATGAGAGAAGATCGTCAACAGGCAACAAATTCAGCAACAGAAAACCAGGCATCGGGACTTTCTGTTACGGGTAAGGGACAGAAGGTTTTTGGAAAGAAGAAGCCAAACTCCAAAGGTCCAAAAGGTCCTAAACCCGGTGACATCTGCAACTACTGTAAAGAATCAGGGCATTGGAAGTTTGATTGTCCTAAGAAGAAGATAAAGAAAAAGGACAAGAAAGAGGATGCCCACGGTTCTGCAACTATGGCAGAAGCTGATGATTCAAAGTCTGAAGAAGATCTGGTTTTGGTTGCAGGTGATCAGCCACATCAGAATGATGTGTGGATTCTTGATTCAGGAGCATCATACCATCTCTGTCCTCACAGAGAGTATTTTACCACTTACGAGCAGGTAGATGGTGGCAACGTTTCCATGGCCAACAGTG